GTTGGCCAAAACACAGCAATAGGAAGGGGAAATGAGGGAGTGAAGGGGGACCATGTCAAGGAGTCAGATCAGGTGACCTGCGTTCATTCATGAAGCTATTCACAATTATGGATAAACCAGCACAGACCAGTGTCAACCGACTTAAAAGATAGATCTCCTTAAGAATCTCTTCTCTCCCTGTAATCAATCTACTCAACCAAGTCGCAATTGTCCTCGACTTGCACTTGTACCGTGACACTAGACCATATTCTCCGTGTCCTGCTTTGGTAAAAGGAGAGCGATATATTCATAGCAGATATACTAGAGCTGGTGCGTTACTCTAGTCCCATTCCACTAGCAACAATCTTGGTGCCTGGCAATCTGTTTCGTTAATCCACCCCCAAGTGAGTACCTGAGGATTTGGAACGAAATTTGAGTTCCCACAGTCAAATTTGTAAATCCAGCTCCTAGTCTATAACAAGAACTTTCAAGTATTCTAGATCTGAAATTTCGTATCTTTTTCGTTCCAGAAGATCCAAAAGTCATGACCGGTTCCTTTTCTTCTTCGCATTCTCTGGGAGACGGGACAAGCAAGTGTCTTATCCCGAATCACGACTCCCAAACAAGACTGTAAGCCCGCAACAAGTAGCGTTGTAACAGATCTGAATCAAATCTGTTACAAGCGTCAAGACTGCGGGTATCTTCAACACTTCTTTCACAGGATACAAGTAATTACCTACGGCTTCAAAACTTATTTGTCATTTTGTCAATATGGTATGGAAACAAGACAGGCGTTTTGTATTGAAGAATAGTCCTTACTAAATAAATGTTCAGTATGGCTAAGGTACGAGAGGCTACAGTATTTGCACCTTTAGTAATGGATTCCCAAATGGAAGGACAATTGAGATGGGAAACTGGCCATTCCCGACTCAAAGCGGAACAGACTTTTAAGCGTTTTCTTGCCAATGCTTGAGAGCTCACAATTCCTCTAGATTATCGGCACTTGCGTGCACGCAACCTACAAAGTGCCGTTAAACTCTGTCCACATGATGGTTGAGAATTGTAGCCTACGTTTGCCATAGCGAGTTCTGACCCCCAAAAGTCTTATCCCCCAAAAGTCTTATCCCCTTAACACTTACCGTAAAAGCTCGACAGCAAGGCCCAAACTGGTCGGGGAGTGCGAATATATACATCTGGCTTTTTAGGTTTACGATACCCACTTTTAGTCTTAGTAAATTACTTAGCAATACTATCACTTGGTTAGTGCGGGGCGAGTCGGACCAAGCCCCGTAGCGCGCCTAGGCATTATTCCGATCGGTCCGACCGCTCAAATAGGAGATCATGAACTTAAAATCCCAGATGTACATATTAAGTGTTGAGGAGATAGGCAGAGTGGGCAGAGAGGCCAAATGAGCGAAAGTCAACAAAAGCCTACGAAATTTTCAAGACAGGAGGCTTTAAGTCTTGAGTCTGAAGTTCGGATCCCAACGTCTACACAAAGTAGAGTGATGAAATCGTGCTGAGCAGCCTGAGCTGACACACGCTAGACGTAGATCCCAACTCCCCGGGGATCGAGTTTGACAGTCCGTCAGACACTACGTGGCGGTGTCTGACCACATATTTATTTTCCAAGCACTTGAGCCTCAGATTTACCCAAATTTACCCGTTCATTCTGGGCAAGCAAAGTTCTTTTTGATTCCTGGAATTTGAAGGAAAAGCTCGGTTGATATTCCCTGAGAGCTTTGTTAAACTGAATAATACTCCTTGGAATACCATTTCAACCCAATACGAAGTAGTTCGAAGCACATTGCAGCACCGACCAATGATTTAGACTAGGTTCTGTCAGAGCCAAATTCTCCTTACTTTTTACTTTAAAATGACCACAAGATGTATCCAAATCATGTCATTTTCAACCAATGTCTCCTACTTCTGGAATCTGCCGGCTGTGTAGCTTTCGTGTTGTAGCGTTTGTGCGGTACTGTATAGTACGAAGTAGAAGTGCTTTGTAGAAGTACAAGTATGCTCTCGGACCTTCTTCGCCCTGGCTAGGATCAATTGTTAATTCTGCGCTCACTCAGCCTTCATGTCCAACACACTGAACATACCCCTTGGTACTGTATGAATGAACTCGTAATTTTGTACTGTTTCTTTTCTCGTCTTCTTTTCTAATTTTTGAGACAATCCGAGCCCTCGATTAAGTTGCGAGATTTGTCGAATACTGGTATTAGCAAAGAATTAATCCAGAAGGCGAGCAACCTGCTCACGTTCCATATGTAACTCTCCTGAAAAGTCACGTTTATTAATACGATATCCCTAACGTCAAAAGTTTTCTCGGTCTTTTTGGTCTTTGACATAACTTGAAAAGTGCATAGTATTATTCTGTGTTTCGTATAAATTATACTCTAGTATATCGTGAGTTGATTCATACTCCATATAATTGTGTAAACTAGTCGGGTCGCGGACGCCTCTTCCGGCACAGTATAGCGGGGAGGCCATTCAAGTGGAATGCGTGACGTAACGAGACAGCGGCCCCAGATAATAATTGTTGGCACCTACAGTCCTACTTGACTCTCCGTGTCCATTTTTTTTTAACCCTTCAAGTAAGTGGTAAAAATATAGAATAAACCCTAATGCATTCTTTGGCATCTACTTTGGAAAGGCATAACTTTTCAGATGTTTAACTGGATATTCTAAGGTGTATTTCAAGGCCTGTTCCAGTTTGCTAACAGCGGGACCAAGATGTGCAGTTTGATCTGTACGAAATACATGGAGAAGCCTGCCGACCTCACGATGCTGGGCGCAGTTCATATTAACTTTACTTGATTCTGGAAGTATCCCAAAATAGGTTAAACCTGAACCTGCCCCTATTTCTTGGCAAGAGAGTCTGAAAATCCGACCATAGCAACGAGGTACGAGTACTCTTCTTTATGATAAATACCTCTATCCCCTCTCATCCTTTCTACAGTTATACGTCCACGCAAACACAATATCTACTCAACATCCACCACTTCTCGTTCAAATACACCAACCGCCAAAATGAAGTTCACCATTGTCCTCGCTGCTCTTGCCACCGCTGTTGTCGCCCAAGAGACGGCTACCCCGGTTTTCGAGTTCCAGAACTTCGCAGCTAGCTGCGCGGCTGACAGCGAACTGTGCACGTAAGTAGCCTCTTGATTCTAGTGCCTATTCCAATTCATCTACAAATGCCAGCACACGGAGATCGACATCTGCTAATCTGGGTGTAATCAACAGTTTCTCATTCACCTTAAACGGCGTAAACTGCACGGCGTCCGACCGAGCCTTCCCAGCGACCGTCCTCGGTGTCGCCTACAAGAAGCTTCCCAACATTGGGCAAACCGGCTGCGGCAAGATTGCCTGGAGTGGTGTCCGAGGTGCTGATGAAGTATACAGCATCTCTGGCAGAACGCTCGGAGCTGGTGGCCAAGGTGGCGGTGCTGCCATCCCAGCTTCTGATTTCACTATTCGGGATGGCGTCGAGGCATACACTGGTACCGGCACCATTGACCTTTTGTAAAATGTTCCCTAAGCATTGGAATGTTTTTCCTAGAGAGCCATGGTTTTTTATGTACGAAAGTGTGTCCGCCTATCGCTTATAACACAAAATGGAATAGTTGGATACTGGACCACTTGGGTTGGGTCACTGTAAAAACTTTTGTAACTAATAGAACTCTAATGAGAACTTGATAACTTCATCAGAATCCTTTATTCCTGTCCCTTGACTATGCTTGATGTTGAAGCAAGTACATTGTCCTACTGTGCATACTGAATTTGGCGTCTCACAAGTTGGGTGATGAGCCTTACAGTATAGTACCCCTCTCTCCTTTCTCGTTTAAGCGCCCTTCGTCAATTCATCATTCTCTTCCCGCGCCGTCGAATTTATCATTACATGTATGTTCAACCACCTTTGTAAGCGAATTCTACTATCAATGGCTGGCATGATAGCAATGATTCTTGGCTATCTATGCGTCAGTTTCTAAATTTGTTTTCACGATTGCCTATGTGTTTTTTGAAGAGGTAAACCTGCTGTAAGAACAAATTTGCGAAGTCTCGGTATTTCCCCTCTGCCATTTTTAATGCACTGTGAATGAATCTGCAGATAACCCGACATGTAACCAGCTGCAAATGGGAGCAGAAAGAGTCCGATCTCTGCCGAAGTGAGCCTTTGGTGATGGATTGAATACTCCATTCTCATTCCCAGCCAATGAGCCATCATCCTATCTCAAGTTCTCAACTTCACCGACTAACCTTCACGTGAGTTCTCGATCTCAAAGATTCTAGCTCTTTTCTCCCTCCTCGTTTGATCAATTTCCATCAATCTCTCCAATTATTCTCGCTCCTTCTTCAGATCTTCATCCTCTCTCTTCAACCTTGCCAGTTCTTCATCTTGGGCTTTATCATGTTTTCGCTTTTGTCCAACGGGGGGTTTAATGGCTTTCTCACGCTTGATTGCAATGGATTTGGAGGTTTTAGCGTTAGTAGCCTTCCGACGAATCAATTTCCTTGGAGCGGTATCTTTGTTACCCTCATCGCTTGGAATGCTCTGGTCAACGGACTCGACTATCTCTCTTTTGATAATTTTGTGTTTCTCGGTTTCATCCTCAGGTTCTGATTCTGAGTCCGAAACTAGATTTATTACTGGCGCATCTTTGGCCGGCTTTTCATGTGCGTTGGTATTCTCTGCTGAGCCTTCAGTATTGACAGGAAGCGACTTTGTTTTCGTTTGGATTTCTTTGGGTGGATGGCCCCTTTCGAGAAGATCGATACGTTCCTATCCAGCTATGTTAGGTTTGTTTACTTCTGACAGAGAATAACCAACCTGGAGATCTTCAAAGATCACCTGTCTTTCCTCCGGTACTTGGAGATTCCACGGGAGCCAACGTCTTGGGTCCTCTTCTTCGCCTTGACCATTGTTGGGTGTTGCGTGTTCCAAAGTGAGACTTCGCTCTCAGTATTGGTATTGTACGTAGCTATTGCAGCATAGCTGCAAGTATTGAAGTTACCTGAAGAAGCTTGAAACAACTTTTCCTCTCTTGGTCATCCAAACAATGCCAGGAATACATTTGTAGTGGTATTGGCGTTTTGCGCATATTATTGCGATCAAGATAAGCTAACAGTGAGTCAGACTACCTGGCGAGTAAGGGAATTTGTATGAACCTACGAGCGGTGCTTAAAACAAACTCAAACTCCCAAATATCTTTCCGCTTGCCATTGGGGAAGTTTCTTGTTGTTTTGGGGGTGTGTTTTGATATTTTACCACCTGCCAAGCTGAAAATTGAGTTAGTCCGAATCCGGTCTTGTTTGACCAACGCTTTACATACACAGTCTCGTGTGTTATTCCTTCCTTCAACAACCCCTCGCTAATTGCTTGGGGCTTGTTGAGGGCGCTCTTTCTTTCTCCTGCCTCTCGTTCGACATTCTCATCATCGGCCTTTCGTCTGCCAATCAACCTCGCAAAACGAGTGACCTTTAATCTTATTGTTCTGGGATGTTGAGCACTATGATCGAAGCTTACGCCAGAGAAGTCATCTCCATTTTGCTCTTCTTCAGTCAGCACAAATTTGAAGTAAGCATAGTCATCAGTACAATTGTCTTACCTGGCACTAAAGTTTGAAAACAGAGATCAACTCCCTTTCGAAATTTTCTGTCGATAAAACCTTGCATTTTTGACAACTCGATGGTATTGTTTTCTGATAGAATGTGTTCTTTAATACCTAAGAATTCCCAGGTCTCGTCGAACTCGAGCCAGTTGCCCAACGACTCTGCCTCTGAACTTAAATCGTACCACAAACATCCGTTCTTTCCTAGGTGAAAGTCCTTCTCAAATACGAGCTCGAAAGTGTACTTGCCTTGCTCCGGAATTATGTGGCGTGTTTTGCTCCGTGCCTGAGAGTTCTCTATTTCTGTAGTGGGAGCATATTCATCGTAATAAAGTATCGATCTATCTCCAGTAATCTTCCGAAGACGAACTTGAATCTTCTAAGATCGACCGCCAATCGCAACCATGATGAAGGATTTGTTCTTCAACCAGAAGGCTGAGTCCAGGATAAACCAGAGTCTTCTTGTGGTCAATGTCTGAAGGTAGATGTCACTAGAGAGGAGTGAGGAGAAGGCCTCGTGGGAAGAGGTTGATGGTGGTGTCCTTGCCTAAAGAGGCGAATTGAAAGTGGTAGAGGGGCACGTGAGGGGTTACGAAAGTCTTCAGTGGTTCGCAAACATATGCTGAAGAGAGCAGGTCTCTGGAATGGAATTTGATAATCGGAAAAGGATCAAAAGTTGTAGTGCTTGATTAACGAAGAGTTCTCGAGTACAAAGCTACTGTTTGCTGAAAGAAGGAAACAATGCCAAGAAAAGGTCTTCACTTCACTTCATGTGGTTTGAACTTCGCCTTCAACTCATTTCGTCACTAAAGTTGAACAGACTTCTAAGGTTTCTCGGCTTCTTTCAGTGGCAATGTCTAAGACTCCTCGGCTTCTTCAAGTGGCAATGTTTCTGCGTGGGAAGAAACCATTAGCTAGAAGTAGACTACTCCCCCTCCTGCTAAAACCACGAATTATCTGGGACTTCTCTCAATGATAAGTAAATGAGAGAATACGGATTTTATGGAGAAATGAAAGCACAACGAGCATTTGCCCAGAATATGAGGCTGCAAAAGCTATTGCACGCAATATGAAGGAGCTCATAATTACGATATGTTAAATCGTAACAGACGACTTTAAGAAAAAATGAGCCAGAAGAAATCTAGAGCAACAGATGGACTAGGGGAGTAGCGCAACGGGATCAACCGGTCAAACACAAGCTTTGTCAGTTATAGTTGCGCGACCTGGATACACTTTTAGTAACGTGAAATATTAAAGATACCTATGTACATACCTGGGTATGACGATTGAGGTACTTACTCAAATATTTCTAACTCTAAAAACTCCATTGCTACTACTTTAACAAGTAATATTTCTGTAGAGGAATTAGTAAATGTATCGTAAAAAGAAAGACAAAACACGTATATATTAGGAACTCGTTGAAGTAGTTTAGCAGAGTTAGAAATTAAAGTAGGAAATACCTTTATTAATTCCTAAAGATGTCACGGATGCCAACAAAGGATAAAGTGTATACAGCTTTTGAATCAATTGCTAGAACTAAAACCGTAGGTACGAAGAAATCAAACTAAAGAGAGAAGAGAATCTGAAAGGAGCGAAGTTATTTAAGTTGTTCCAATGCCAAGTCTCGTCACGTGCTTGGCCAAGCGAATGAAATCCTGTCAAATGAAATCCAGCTCCGTCATAAAAGATATATATTAAATTTTAATTCTTTAATATCCCGTGTTAAGTATTTAAGAAAATTTAGGTTAATAATATATGAAGAATAAAAAGATCTTTTATAGTCTTTTATATAAATACTCGGGTAAAGTATTACTAGATAATTTTAAGAAGTAGGATTAATTATTAATAGATATAATTAGACCTAGGCACGATAGAAACGTTTCCATATCGGAAGTCCTACGATCGATATCGTATCGTAAATATATTAACGATACGATATCGGTTTTTTGACGATATCCGATATAATATCGATTATCGTACACGTGACGTGGAAAAACTAAAACCCGGACCCGGACTCATTAGAGCACATGAATCTAAGACCTACTAATAATATTACTACTAAACGCCCTAAGAGTAACCTACCATTTAGTCTTAGATTTTATTTTGTTTATAACTATTATTTATTAAAGCGGTCTAGATTATTATTCTAAGGACTTGTTATAGAATTAGGACACGTTTTAGTCATGTGACCGACCTCCTTATTTATATTAGAGATTTTTCCTAAAAACTCCCTACAAAGGCCCCTACAAAGGCTCTAAAAACGTACTAAAATCAGGTAAAAATTATCGATATCGTTACTTTTCGGACGATCGATATCGGAATCGTGGAATAATTTATCGCGATAATCCGATATATATTGTTATCGTGCCCAGGTCTGGATATAATTATTTAATAATAAATAGTAATTAACTAAAAGTTAATAGAAAAAATACGCCTATATTACTAAAGAGCGAACTTGTCTAGATATAATAACTAATAATTTAAAAGTATAACGGAATCTATTAAATACGTAACGTAGTCCACAAGCGAGTTGGATTCCCAAGCGAAATGGATTTTTTTTCTTGGCACTCCACAAACTTATTCAGAGCGCGTTTTTTCTTAACAAACAAAATGGTTAAGCATTGGACAGAGTCTGATATGATTNCTTGCGTTAAATACGCTTCGTACGAACCCACATTTAAAAGTTAAGAAGGTTGCGCGGATCTATAAAGTACCTTATACGACATTGCTT